ATGAGGATGCAGAGATTTTATATATATATATATACATATATGTTGTATGTATATGCATATATATATATCATATATATATGTGCATATATGTATATATATTTATATATATATATATATATATATATATATATATATATATATATATTATTATTATATTATTATTATATATATATATATATATATATATATATATATATATATATATATAAGCATTATATAACCCATATATCCTGCATTACCCGCATCACGTGCAGAGGTTGACACACGGGTGGCCCTGGGGTATCTGTGTGACAACTATCAGAAACACTACAAACAGTTCAACATGCGCGCAGTCAGAGAGCCCTTTCTGCCGTGTGAGCTGGTGTCGCCGACAGACCCCAATAAGAAGCAGACTGTGTACTGCTTACCCTCTGAGTGCTTCTCCTTGGTCCAGGTAGGTAACCGAGACCACTGATATGTGTAATTATTTGGACTCAACCCTAAACGCTAAACCCTATATGGGGACAATTGAACCCTAAACCCTATACATAAGGGCAATGGGACAGATTCGAATTATACCTCTGAATCTGTTCTGTGCATACGTACAGACATTGTTTGCTATTGGTTTGAGTATTTTCTGAAATATAAATTTCTTAGTTCGTACCCATATCCGCATATAGGCTACCAAGACATCACAAGCCTCTATACCTGGTTTGATTTCGTTTAACATGGTTTTTATGTGTATATTTGAATCTGAACAGGCGCATATCCTTCGTTTGCCGGTGCTCGAGGAATCGTACCGTGCGTACGCACAGACAATCTTCGCAATGGAGAAGTTCCCTAACGCAACCGTTGTAGCTAAGGCGATCAAAGCCCACAAGCCCCAGACACACAATGCTAAACTTGTGTTCGAGTACCTTTCCTCGGCAAGATCTGCTCATCCGGGTAGGTAGAATACGTGACCGATGACTCGGCTTTCAGGACCGATTTGTCCCGAATAGGATTTTTTTTCTTATCTTTGTGGGAATCGTTTTGCAATATTCGCTGTTGCTATGGAGGTACGTTCATGGGAGTGTGGATAAGTGCAATATGTCGACATGAACGTGGCTGAGCTATAGTTTGTGCTCTTAAAACCTTGCGTTTGACTGATAACTCGTCAACGTATATTTATATATATATATATATATATATATATATATATTATAACATACATATACACC